AATAATAATCGGGCACTATAGAAACGTACAAATACTCCTATAGTATTTTTAAATGTTTATATTTGGTTCTTAGTGTGTTCTTTATGGAGTGTAATTAGGTTTTCAGATTTGTCGCTCATTACGACTATTCCTTAGTGTGCGTAAGTTACTTCTTGGACGGATATAGTTGATCAGGCTATATCCTTCCCAGAACTGATTACACATGCTAAGGCGTATTAATAATGTTCGACTCCTCCTCTTTCAATTTATGTTCTGCTAAGTTATGACACCATGCTAGTATAGAATGCATGCAAGTATACTTTAAAACAAGAAATTATTTGTTTTCTAAAAGTACAACTCGTTAAATCACTTTAAGAATCAGAGACTTTTAGTCCCAAATGTGTTTATAGTTTGTATATCTTATGTGGTTTGACATACTTAATTCACTATAAACCGTGCTCTGATACCAATCTGTCACACCCCCAAACCAAGGATGGCGGAAACGTCCGGGGGTGGAGGACTTCATGTATAGTATCATAACCACAATTTCAATAGTAATTTAAGCAAACACAACCAACATATATATAATTGAAAAAGTTACATCACTTGTATGAATTACATGTTTCAAAATCAATTACAATATGTTGTCAAAATATGAAAAGTTTGACGTCTTAACGTCCCATCCTCAAAAGCACTTGATTACCTGTTTAGTGTTTTCCTGAGAATACGAGTTGTTTGAAAAGTGTCAACACAAAGGTTGGTGAGTTCATAAGCTTTTATTAATAAAACTTAGTAGAAGTCTATCACATGTAAATGTCGCGTTTGTGTCAGAAAAACCCGATATTTTCCTTGAAATCCGAAGAAAAATGTAGCCTTATAACCAAAGACTAAAATGTATAAGAAATCCTCATTTCTTAGTAGAAATGTCGTGAGTTTAAAATGATATGGAAGGTAAATTTCTTAATCAACCTAAAACCTACTTCGGTTTTATGAAACCCCGTAAACTTTATGAATTGTTATCTCCCTAGGTGAGTCGCTATAATCATACTGTGACTATGTGAACCTGCCACGACGTTTCTCAGGCGTCGCGAAAATGAAATGACATTTGTCACCCGTAGACCTGCAGGTCCCACTGTAGCTAGCAGCAAGGTGTGGGGTGTCAAACCCAATATAGATCTATATACAAGTATCACGTTCTCCCTCAAGGAGATTCTGATTATAACTACCAGGAATTATAACCCGCACTCGGACGTACGGGGAGAGATAGAGTCTCACAATATAGGTTAACAAGTTTACGTGAAATGTGTGTGAATATAAATCTTTCTTGTATGAATGTACCCTTTTTGTACGAGTGCGTTGAGTGATGTATCATAAACTATACCTATTATAGTTTATCTAAAATGTATGTAATGTGTATGAATTCTTTTATGGAAATGTATTAGTGATGTGAATTTATCAACTATACTTCTTATAGTTTAATATACATGTTCTAAAATGAATGAATAATATTTAATATGAATGACTTAGTTTCAGTTCATAATGATAAACTAACAAGGAAACACATTCAAATATTAGAACTTATGATCATACACTTTGCTCAACATAATACAAAGTGTTATGATATTTACATGCTGTTGGCTAAATTTAGCCATTCTGCCCTGTTTTTGGAAAAATCATAGAAAAATCATACGAAGTCGAAAACTAGATCCGTAAATTCTGAGAGTTCGAAAAATGTGTCTAGTTTACTCATAATTTTTATCACGATTTTTAATGACCTCCAACTTGAGTGAATAAGTCCAAAATCACAGACTGGTCCGGATTGTTGTTTGAAATGATAGGCAGTTTTGTAAAAAATCACCATAAATTGTAGAAAAATCATATGGAGATGTGCAAGTAGCCATTTTAAAGCTAAGAACTTGAACTAATTGCACCTTGTACAGTTTTGAAAACAAAAATGTTTAAGATACCCAAAACAGTCCGTGAATGGAGTTGAACCTTTCCGATGAAGGCTGTTAGAGAAATTTAGTTATGTTCTTAGTGTTTTAACTTGTATTCCCCCCATAAAAACTTGAGAAAACATGAAAATGTAGGGGTATGAACTCACCTTGAGTGATTTCAGTAGATGAGTGTTGAAGAAGAGAAGTGTTCAACCCAAGAACACTTGAAGAATCCCTTGAAGATTCGAAGCTCTAACGTTAATATGATGGAGTTTGTGTAAGATATTCATGATTTGAGTAGAATGAAGTGAAATAATCATAAGGAGGATGAATTATACTTACTAAGAGTGGAAGAACACTTGAAAACCAGCCTTGAATCTCGAAATTTGAGTGGGAAAAGTTTGAGAGAAAAGTGGTGTTTGATACTTAGTGAAATGAGGGCAATTGAGAGAAATGAGGAGAGAGGATGTTTGTTCCAGCTCTAAAAACGTGGGAATGAGGGTAAATTGAGTGTGAGGGACATTGATGTGACCTAGGTAAGGTGGGGAGGTATGGCTGGTCATAGAGTGGGTGTGGGGTGGTTGCTTGTGACTTTGGATAAGGCAAAGTCAACACTCCACCTTTAATAATTCACCCATTTGATTTTTATTGTTTAAATAATGATTTTCATCAAAATATGTTTAAATTATGAATATTTAGGGTTTATTATGTTAAAATATAATTTCTGGAGAAAATCCCGCTTTAAAATCACGAAAAACGGGCTTAAAATGTTAAAAATATCAAAAATGGGCTAAAAGTGACAAATATGCGAAATCTGGCCGAGGCTCGGCCTTCTTATGCTAAACCGAGAGAGAGGGAGGCAGCAACCGAGAGACGAAGAAGGGAAAAGGGAAGGAACCGAGAGAGGGAGGAGAGAACAGAAGGCGCGAAGAGACAGAGCGAGAAGCGAGAGAAGGCGGGGGTTCGGTTCGGGAATAAGAGGCGAGAACGTGCGAACCGAACGGACTGTAGTGAACAGTAATGAACAGTACCTTCGGTTCGCTTAATGAACAGTAGTTTCGGTTCGGTTCCTCTTGAGCAGGGTTCGGTTTCGGTTAGTGGTGAACAGTACCTTCGGTCGGGTGAACAGTACCTTCGGTTCCTCCTTTTCTTGGGTTCGGTTCCTTCTGGCTCGGGTTCGGTCCTCTCACTTTCGGTCGGGTGAACAGTACCTTCGGTTCCTAAGGACCTTCGCCTCTCATAAGAGGGTTTTGGTTCCTAAGGTCCATTTTTCTCGTTTTTATCCCGTTTTAAGCCGTTTTTGACCCGGTTAAGGGTCGGAATGACCCGAATGATTCTAAAAAGTTACGGGAAGCTTTTGAGAGAGATTTGGGAGAGATTTCACATACTTGGAGAGATTTGGGAGAGATTTGACATTCTTGGAGAGATTTGTCATACAGAGAGATATTTGAGAGAGATTTCACATACTTGGAGAGATTTGGGAGAGATTTCACATATTTAGAGAGATTTGGGAGAGATTTCACATTCTTAGAGAGATTTGGGAGAGATTTCACATTCTTAGAGAGATTTGGAGAGATTTAACATACTTATAGAGATTTCTCATACAAAGAGAGTTTTGGGAGAAGTTTCACCTACTTAGAGAGATTTCAAATAGAGAGAGGTAGAGTGAAAACGATTGAGAGAGGTTTCGAGTGTGGCATGTGTGAGTGTCCGGCTTCGCAATGCAAGGTTTGTAAACCCTATTAAGCCTTGTTTAAGGATCTTACACACTCCCGATGAGTATGCAACATTGTTTTATCAGTTTAGTTCATTGATTAGCACTAGGGTTTAGAAAATTTTTAACACAAGACTTTTCTCAAGTGAAGTTTTCCCATTAATATAGCAAGTTATACAGTATGAACATAACACAAACCCTAATACACAAGGTTTAATCGAGTTGATCGGTCTTGACTTGATGATTTGACTTGACTCAAGATTGACGATTGTCACATTAACACCTTCCACCCACCCACATACATACAAACACACACATACATACCCCCCCCCCCCACACCCATACACACATACATACCCCCGCACACCCACCCACCCTCACACATACATACCTACCCACACACACACACACCCATACACACACATACATACCCCCCCACACACACCCACCCTCACACACACGCATACATACCTACACACACATACACACACATGCCCACACCCACAAATATACACACACATACACATACATACCCACCCACAAACACACACACACATACATACCCACCAATGCACCCACACACACATACTCACACATATACCCACCTACACCCCCACAAACACACACCTACACACACAAACCCACACCTACACACACAAACCCACACCTACCACCACCCCCACCCTCACATACACCCCACCCCGACAAACCCACACCTACCCCCACCCCCACCCTCACAGACACATACACCCACACACACACAAACCTACACTCACCCCCACAAATACACACACACACAAACACATACTCGTACCCCCACCCACCCAACACCACTACGAAAATCACCGAGCTACCATCACCATCACCACCACCACCACCACTAACCTGTCACTAGCACCACCACCACCGCTGCCACTGCTATCACCACCATTGACACAATTGCCGCCGCCACCACCATCACCTGTAATCATAACCACTGTCGCCGATCCGCTACCGTCACCACCCCCACCCACGCCCTACCACCGCTACCGTTTTCTAAAAATGAAAACCGATAGAAAAATACACATCTAAACACGTTTTCTAATTTTCTAAAACTGAAACTGAAAAATGAATAAGTTTAACTAAACGCGTTTTCTAAATTTTTCAATAAAAAATGAAAACGGAAAACGAAAATCGAAAAGGGAAAACAAAAAACAGAAAATGAAAACTATTTTTTCCGTAACTAAACGCAACCTTATTGTTAAGTGAGTGCTTTGTTTATCACTTTAGTTTTTCCTTTTAGAAAGCCTATAAACAAATATTACTAAATTTTAGTTATTGTTTGTATTATCTGTGACTATAACAACAATATTTTAAATTCATTAATCCAAATGAATATCGAGTTCTATCAGATAAGGAATGACCATGTAAGATCATTCCGGAAGTAAGATCCGTTTGGTGTAAAGATGTACCCTTTGAAAAATCAACTTTAAACACCTCACAGATCTACCGTAGACATCACTCTCATGAGTAGATCGATTGGTATAACTACTGGTATTATTGATAAATCTTATTTATAAATTCATAATAAGGATTACGAACATAAACATATGTTATACTTAAAGCAAAGAAAGCATAACTCAACTTATAGGTTTTTTAGCGAAAAATTGGAAACTGCGTAGACAAAACTTTGATACATAAAGCTCTTTTTATCAGCCTTTTGTTGCCTTAGAGCTTTACTACTAACACTTGAAATTTCATAAATTTGGGCTTCACGTTTGCGGGAAAAGTTTGAGAGAGTTTGAAGAGAAAATGATGTGAGAAACCAATAAAATCCATCCTACATATAAATTACAGGGAGGTGCACCGCACCCTACGTGTCATGTTGTCATGTATCAGATGAAGTTGCGTCGAGTAGAGATTGGTTGGTTGGGGGGGGGGGTGTTGCTCTTTAACGTGCCACATGGCGAATTTTTGTGGAGCCACGTTGCATTAACATGTAGAACTTCGCTTCCTTCGAAATATCGTATCTTTCACCTACGATCTCTGTTTTCGATATTTTTTATGTTCTCAGTTTGTATCAACGAGTACTACAACTTTCATTTAGACTTCGACGACTAATTCACATTCTATTTTTATTTTATAGTCTATGAGGAATATAATGTAAAAGAATTTGTGAAATCCATATCTCCTTCAATACGAGCCCTGCTCTCAACGTTCTTTATATCAACAAATTCATATTTATGAAGACATCAACTTTTGTTAGATTGTTTTGGCTAAAAGCCAACCGATCTCCATTTTACTCTTTATGACACACATTGTTTTTTAAGGTTGAACGTGAAACTTCGAAAAATCATAAAATTTTCATACGAAGTCAAATCTTGACGTTCTTTATATCTGTAGAGTCGTAATCACGATCACTACGACTTTTTGTTTACACTTTTTCTCCTAAATAAACTTTTATTTTATTAGTTTTTAAAATATATTTTTTTATACAAATATTATATAGCATAACATTTGTCTAAACCTCAAGCACACAACATACATATAAACCACTTTTATATAAACATATATATTTGAATAATTCTTTTTTCATTCATTCATAAGAAGTTTTATAATTATCACATGACATAAATATAGATTTCCTAATAAATGATTAACAAGAAACATAGACGTTACAATTTTATTCTTAAATCTTAAGCTATATGAATAATTCCTCTATGGATAAAAGTTATATTCTTCTCTATGGAAAATGATGAGTTAAAATTGATGCTAACGTTATTGTTTTGGCAAATAATCGTTTATAGAAGTCTTTAATCTTTAGGCTAAGAGGTATGGTTATTACATCCCCACTAAAATATGTTGTCATATTTGTGCCGCGTCATCTTCATTATATGTTCAGTACCACACTCATTGGAAATCGTTACAACTCCAGCATTTTTTTTTTTTTTTTAAAGATTAAGCAATCATATTGTAAACGTTTAGACCATTTCAAAATCAAGCAATCCTATTGGGCACAAGCATGCATTGAGAGGTCCACTTAACATCACACCCACTTGCTGCTGGGGTGATATTCACTAGTGGACATATCTGTTACGTAGGGTTTAATTCTTGGGTTTGTATACCATACCAGATGATCTTAGTTTTATGAAGTTTAGTGATGTTTTTCCTATTCATAATTTTAATGAAAAACTATAAAAGTTGAAATAAAAAAATTAAGATTTTTTTTCTTAAAATTGGCCAATTAATGAATTTTTTCCGGAACAGATTAAAAATAAGTATTGGTAAAAAAAACCGATTTAAATTTTTTTATCGAGTAATCAAAACTTTTTAGTTTACAAAATAAAATTTAAGAAAACCAAAATAGAGATATTTATATATTTTCTTTTTGAGAAATTAAATTACCTCCTACTTTTTATAACTATAATTATTCCTATACACTAAAATTATAAGAAATCATCATTCAATTTTATTTTATTTGATATATATTCTTAATATAACTTTAATGAGTTAGTTAAAAAAACAAAAAATAATGATAGTTATCATAATTTTATTGAATATGAACATTTATAGATATAAAAAATAGTTATCAATTTAATTTTTTTTTTTCTTTTTTAAAAGTTAAATATCGTATGTTTAAGCCGACAATTGATTGATCTCCCCGGACTTTTGTGTCAATTTTATTTCTATTTTCTATCCATATCAATCTTTTATTTATTTATTTGTATGTTTCCTATGTTATTTTGTTGGTCTTTTGTTTTCGTATAATGTTCGTGTTTTTTGAGTTTTCTTAATTAAATGCCTAAAATACCCCATCGAAACAGTTGAAATCACCAACAGCGTTGTGTAATTGCGAGTAACTATAGACCCATTTTGGTCATTTTGTTTCTAATTTTCAGACCACTGGTTACAAAATATCGCCGACCGCAGCTTTACCTTTTTCGTGCAATTCGTATCCCTGTTTTCTTAAATCTCTTTCATTTAACCCTAATTCCCAAATTCAATCTCGATTCGCTACCAACTCTCCGGATTTATCACGGATTCTTTCGATTCTCGTCTTCGGCTATAGATCGAGCTATTTTTCAAAGCCTGCCGTTGTGTCAATCGATTTCTAGGTTAGGGTTTCAATTTTTTGTTGACTTTTCATCAGATCTGTCAGATCTATCATCCCTTTCGGTGAATCAACCGGGTTCCCCTTGCAGATAGTTTTGTATTTGTCCTATTTTTCCAGATCTTGATATTTTTGTATTCTCGATCCATCTAGAGGTTGAGAATCGACTCTTCGTTTCTTATTCAGCCGTTCGATTTGTTTTGTATTAAATTCATTAAACCGTAGTGTCTCGTATATATGATTTGTTCAAATTCCCGTACTTTGTGAAATTGGGGATCTAGGGTTAGGGTTTCTTTGTAAGTTTAAAATTTTATTATAATCGATCGATTTTTTTACTTCAAATTAGGAATCTTGCGTAACGTTCTCCTATTCAGCCTGTGAGCTTCCGTAAAAATAAAGACAGCTACTGTTTCAACTACATACGATTTTACTTGAGAGGTATTTATTCAAAGCCCTTTAATTTTCCCAACCACACAGTTCTTTACTTATTCAAATCCTTCCAATCCATACGCATTATTTCCCGTCGTTTTATTTTGATTCATATTTTTCTTGATGTTTTGGTGGAAAATAATTTTCTGTAAAGAAAATGTGTTTGGAGATTTTATTTTATTTTATTTTATTTCTTCGACTGTGACTTTCCACGTGCAGTTTCAGATTCTACTGTCAGATTCATTGAATTATTAATATGCCCCACTCCTTTAAAATTAACACTCCAATTCAAATTTCACCTCTAACACCAAAATCTTTATTTTGTTTTCTTTACCCATCAATTTTCTTGAAAGTCAATGTATTGTATATAACAAGAATTCTTGAAATTAATAAGTTTTTGGTTCCATATTTTTCAAGATTGACATATTTATTACATCATCATGCAGTTAAAACATGGTGCAAAAACGGCATTTAGCCGAAAAGGAGTATGATGTTTCACCCAAACACTTGAAGTTGGAACATAGTTATGAGTTACTTCCATTTTTGCAATTTAGTAAAGAAGATGCACCCTTTTCATCAGGTGGGTAGAGAGCTTCTGTTTTAAATTCTTGAGTTTGTTTTGTACCCATTTATAATTTCTCAATCTTTTTCACTTCAATGAGAATTCTCTTGTGAATTTGTAAAGAAAATTGTAACCATGTTTGTATCTAGAAAAAAAAAAAGATTGTTTTTGACTTATCCTATGACCTATGATATAGATAAAGACGAGGCTTCCTTCTTTAAACCAATTATTGAAGTTGACTATGGATTTCTAAGTGACAAATTCACTGATCATCTTCCTCTCACCACCACAAAATATTACGATTATACCCTTCCGCATCGCCTTTCCACCTCATCATCATCAAGCATCACCACAAGTGAAGAAGACTTAAAGTCAGAACAACCACAAAGATTGTTAATTCAGAAAGAAAACAAATATTCTTACCTTTTACAACACCCTCCTCTAAAAAAAACCCCAATTGGACCTCAATATCAAGCTGAAATTCCCGAATGTTATGAACTCAATCCACAACACAATGACAATGAGATTAAATTCATCGGTTCTTGTGTCATCCAAATGCCTAATTCATCATCTTCACATTACGAACTGTTGGAAGAGGAAGAACCGATTGTTTCTGTAAAAACACCGGGTCCTTAAAATGCATCCAACAACATATTAAGGAAGCAAGGGAGACACTAAAGGGTACAATTGGAAACAAAAAGTTTGAAGATTTAGGGTTTGGTAACATGGGAGAATCAGTTGCTAATAAATGGAGTGAAGAAGACGAACATTTGTTTCATGAAGTTGTGTATTCGAATCCTGTGTCATTCGGTAAAAACTTCTGGAATCATCTTTCAGAAGTATTCCCTTCACGTTCAAATCATGAGATTGTTGGCTACTATTTCAATGTGTTTATGTTGCGAATAAGAGCAGAGCAGAATAGATTTGATCCAATGAATGCTGATAGTGATGATGATGAATGGCAAGGGAGTGATGAATCAGAGGAAACGGAGAAGTATGATTCCGGTGAACATGGGAATGGAATTGAGGATTCTATTGTTGATGAATATTTTGAACCCTCGGATCATAGAGATTGGGATGTTGGTTATTTTTCATGTTCAAGAACTAAAAGTGATTTCTTGCCAACTGGAAGTATGATTGAAGAGGTGTTTGGTGTTGAATCTTGGAACTTTGATGATAACGAAAGCTCAAATTAGAAGATTCAAGTTAAAGTATGTCCAATTTTGTGTTGTACATTTACCTTATTATCCTTGGTTAGCATTAGGAACTATTTATATTGAGAGGTTATAGAAAAAAGATTGTAAATAGTTGTGAAAATGAAAATTGAGAGTCGAGATTTCAGTGAGAATTTCAATTGGTGTAAACAGTTTGTAATAGGCGAATACTTAATGGAAGTATGCTTGACGCATGTGGCTTTTTTGCTTTCTTTGAGTGTTGGTTTTTCTTTTATTTTGAATATAGTTTGTGTTTAAAACGAAATATATTCTTGATGTTTTCTATTTAAGATTAAAAAGATATCATGAAACGAAGGATACAAGTTTTGTTTTTGGGTTTTCAATTTCCATCGACTGTTTTCTTGAAGAGTAGATTCAAGTACATATTTAAACGTAGGAAAGGGTTTAGAAATATTTTAAATGGTGGTGTTTTTGTTTTTCTCTTTTTGGTAGTATGATGATCACCAAAGTTTAGTCATTCTTATTCATCTAGTCATATGAGGAAACGGGTTTTGATTTTGTATTTATTTATTTATGTTAAGCATGATCAACTAAGTTTAGTTAATAAGATGGTTCTCAATTTTGGACATTGAGTGGAGACCTTTTCATTTACAAAAACTCGATTGCAAACATTAATTTAAATGGTTTTCTAATAAAATAAAATAATATAATAGATGTTAATAATTATATTGATATGTTAAAACGATAAGAACCTATACCAATGGAAGAATTCGAAAAGCAATTAAATCTTGATAGAGTAACAGAGAGTGACAATATGTGAACATCCACTAACAATTTTCATTTGTTTTTCAACATTTTTAACGCTATTTGGTTTTCAACACATATAACATGATAATCGTAATTATAAGTAATTTATAATGTTCACTATTAATTTTTAGTTAATAATATATGGTTAGTTTATGGCTTATAACGATTAAATTATAAGAAAGAAAATACGAACCGGATACCTGCTACCGGAACCGGTTCCGATTTCGGTTCCAAGATTTCAAGAACCACCGGTTCCGGTTCCAGAGAATTAGGGCGGGTACCCGTTTGTACCCATCCCTAATGAGGAGGCAAATTTCGCATGTTGGGATCAAACTAGTTTATCAACCAAACTTGTATGAGATCATAGGTTTTGATAAAGGGAGTTCACCATTATCAACTCACTAACAAATCAATTCAATATTTTTTTCTTCTATCTTTTCTAACCTACATAGTATAGAAATTCTATCTTTTTCAACCCATTCAATCCATTCAATTTTAAATTTTATAATAAACACAAAAAATAACTATAACACAAAACTATTATACAAAATATTAAAAACATATAAAGCTAATTCACAAATTAATTTAAAAACATAAAAAATTATCGTGGTACAAGTCTTAAAAGAGAAGGTATAAATAATCAATGCATAAGGAGTAAATGGTTGAACGGGTTAAGCAAACCGCGTATACGACTTTCTTAACCCATCATAACCCGTTGGGTGAGGGAGTGGTAACTTGGGTGAGGTACCACATTGACTACATTTAAATGAGAAAAGATTCAAAACCATGAACTACTACTTTATTATATGAGAGTATGTAATAAATCAACATAAAAGGTGAAAAGACTAAAACACCCTCATGCAAAAGTAGCACAAGTACATGAGGAGGTTTTAACCAGATGATTAGACGCCCATCTTGTAACATCATGATGGAAATACGTCTAAAACACGCCTTTGGATGTCACCAGAACTTCGAATATACAGCTAGTGTACGTTTCTGAGTGTCACCAAAGATTCGAAATTTCGAATAAGTATAGTAGATATTCTACATTCGTGTATAGGATAACCAGGCTTTCAGAATACTTATCTAATACTACAAGTATGATAGATACTAATACATTGCATTCCGAACCAAGAACTAACCACGACTTTTAGGAAAATAAGGTTTTTTTTTCCTGGGATAACAAACTGTACATAACCAAAATGTAGAATAAACGAATAACCAAACTTACGTATAAGAAAATGTGGGATTTTCTTGGATTACGAACTGTTCCTAACTTGATTATGTAATAAACGAATAACCAAACTTAACTTGACTATGTAACAAACGGATAACTAAACTTCGCTTATAAGAAAATATGAGATTTTCTTGGATAACGACTTTTTCAGAAAAACCAAAGGAAACTTGTTCTTTTACGCAAATAAACCGCTTATGAACTCACCAGCTTTATGCTGATTTTCAAACTACTTGTATTCTCAGGTCCACATTAGACAGGTACACAACGATCTTTTGGAGAAGACGGAGCGTATAAAAAACTCGTGTTAACGTTTGTTCATATGATATATATATATATATACACACACACACACACACACACACACACACACACACACACACACACACACATATATATATATATATATATATATATATATATATATATATATATAACTCTTGTAACACCTTGTTTTCAGACAATGTAATTATTTCTATGTAATGTAATGGTTGTGTTTACTACACTTACTATGTACATTGGTTGTGATACTACATGACGTCCTCCGCCCCGGAACGTTTCCGCCATCGGTTTCGGGGTGTGACAGACTGGTATCAGAGCCCTTGTTTATAGTGAACTAGTATACCAAACCTTACATGGTATAAGACTATAAACACTAAGGGGCCGAAGTGCTCTGAACTAAAAGTATACTTTAAAATATAAGTATTTTCAAAAGTATACAAGTATACCTAGCCGTCGGAAACCGTAACCTCGAGTAGAACAGAACATAAGTAATTGGGTGTTGTATGCTGCGGTTAAACCTGGGCAGTTATGTAGTCGTGTCTAGGGTCAATATAGCCTGATCAACTATATTCATTCGAGACATGGCTAACATGTGCTTGGGAGTGACTGAGGTGTGCAGCATGCCTAAAACTTACCTGATATCCAAACAATGAATCATCGTCGCAACGAAATGTAAAATACTATGGGAGTATTTTAGCCAAAGCCGAATACATTGTAGAAATTCATTCCGAGTGTTGCTACTCATTCTTTCCTTAGTGATAGTTTATCTGCTTTGATAGCTCTTTCCTGTTTTATCGCTTATTAGAACTTTATATCTGTCATAAAAAGATATATCTTGTTCCATATCTCTTAATTCAAATTAGAGGACTTATGATCCTCTCTTTCCTGACTATTATAGATCAATATGCCTCCAAGGAAAAGACCCAGCTCAAAGAACAACAATCCTCCTCCGCCACCACCTCCTCCTCCATTTGATCCCGTCATGTTTCAAGCAGCTGTTAATGCTGCTGTGGTTGCTACCATATCACAAATGAACCTCGTTGGTTTAGGCGGGCCAGGAGGTGGTACTCAGCCCCAAAACCAGAAAGGTAACTAGGGACACCAGAAGGAGCATTCCTATAAGAATTTTATGAACACGAAACCCACGACCTTCGATGGCACAGGAGGTATCATTGACCTAACTAGGTGGTTAGAGAAAATTAAATCTATCTTCGAAATCTGTGCCTGTTCAGAATCTGACAAGGTGAAATTCGCTGCCTGCACATTCACCGATAAAGCTCTGACTTGGTGGAACGGCCAAGTCAAATCCTTAACCCTACCTGTAGCCAATGCTATGGGTTGGGAAGTCGAAGGAGTTTCTACTTGCGAAATACTGCCCTCGGGGCGAAATGCAGAAGCTGGAGCATGAACTCTGGAACCTGAAGATGAAAGGTTCCGATATCGCCGCTTACACTTCGAGGTTTGACGACTTGGCGCTTCTTTGTCCGGGAATGGTTACCCCGGAAAGCAAAAAGATTGAAAGGTTCATATGGTGGTTGACCCAGCCAACCAAGGGTAATGTATTAGCTGCGAAACCAGACACATACGACAGCGCCAAATGCCTAGCGCAAATCCTGATCGACCATAGTGATGACCTAGAGGAAAAAGCCACCACTCCTGAGCCGACAGAGAGAAGTGGTGAGAAAAGAAAATTCTGTAAGAAGAAGAAGAGTCAGCCTTCACAGGAGTCCTCGAAGAAGCAGCAAACAGTGGCAATCCACGCTGCTACTACCCCTGCTGCTGTTTCTATCGTCGGTTCCTCAGCTCAAGCACCTACCACTGGATATAATGGTATTCTTCCTTGGTGCAACAGGTGTAGTTACCACCATCATATCCCCGGTCCGTATCGTGAAAAGTTTTGTAAAAACTGTGGCCAGGATGGTCATCTTGCGCGAAGCTGTAGAACACTAACCCAATCAACAAATCAAGCTTTCGGAGCGGGCATCAGTCAGGCCTACTACGGTTGCGGCGAAGTCGGGCATTATAAGAGAAACTGCCCCAAGGCAGCGGCAACTAGCAACATCGGGAGAGTCCTAGCTATGGGACAAGATGAGGCAGCCACCGATCCCACCGTTGCCACAGGTATATTCCTCCTCGACAACCCTTATGCTTGCAATCCTTTTCGATTCGAGTACTGAAGGAAAAATCTGTTAGCTATTCATTCGAACATCTTCATAAACATAGTCCTCAACTAGTAACCGAAACGTTTACCATCGAGACGAATAACGCTGAGAAAGAGACCGCTAACGACATATTCATAGGATGCACTCTTACTCCGAACGATCATTCTTTTCCCATTGACCTAATTACAGTTTCCATAGATAGCTTTGATGTTATAATTGGCATGGATTGCTTGAATCCCAATCATGCTAATATCCTTTGATACGAGAAATCTATCCATCTCAACCTTCCTCCTGGTCAAACCCTCATAATTTACGACGATAAACTTAGTTTCAGCCTTCACATCATTTCGTGCATCAAAGCTCAAAAGCTTCTACGAAAAGAGTGCCATAAATTCCTAGCCTATGTAATCAACGAGAAACAGGAAATTAAAGACCTCGAGAGCATCCCCAAAGTTTGCAATCTTCATAAAGTCTTTCCCAAAGAGCTCCCGGGAATTCCTCCCGAATGTCAAGTCGAGTTTCGCATCGACCAAATT